TGTGCCCCTGCCTGTGTCAGCCTCCCGGGGCTTTGGTGTGACCTGCCTGCTGGGTGTCCAGGGTCCTCCCTGCACCAGGGCCCGCCCGGAGCCGACCGGGTCCCCCTTGCTCTCCTGGGGCCCACGGGCGCCCTGTGGCTCCTGCTGCTTTCCCAGACCCGCGTCTCTGATGCCCGCTGGGGCTCGTGCTGTGCCCTGCGCCAAACCGCACCATGCACACCCCCCGCCCAGCCCACGCCTGGGCCGGGGCATGGCGTGCACCTGTGTGGGTGCCGCTCTCACGCCCCACACCGACACACGGTGATACGTCACACACTGACAGCCCCACACACCCATACCGCAGTGACGCACCCACACAGTGACACATCACACGCTCAGAACACGCTCGCGCTGGCACACACCACACACACAGGTCCCTGACCTTCCTGGGGTGGCTCCCGGCCTGGCCTCCCTCCCCACCGGCCCCTCCACCCTGGGCCACACTCTGGCCACACCCAGCAGAGCATCCGTCCCCTGCCTCCTCCTGAGCTGAGAGAGCGTCCTCCAGCGTCTGTCCCCGAGTCGCCGCCTCTGTTGCTTGGTGGCCCGACTTTGCCTGCACGTGGCTGGCACCACGCTCCCCCGTCCTTTGCACGTTCCGCCCACGGGAGGCCTGGCGCACACCCGGGTCCTTTCTCTCCTGCCCCAGCCACGTGCGCTGCTGGGGCCGCTCCCTGCGGTGGTGGGCTCGCTCCACGCTCCCCGGGCTGTCACCGCCCTCCGCCTGTCAGGGCCCACGGCGTCCCGCGGTGGGCTCCCCTCTCCTGACCTTCAGCACCGTGGAGAGGTGCTGCTGGTTCCGCTGTCGTCTCTATGCGTCTAGAGGACGGCGCCGTGAACATGTTTGCTAATTATGAAAGTCACAGTTGCCCACCGTGGAAAGGTCGAACCGTGCCGGGGCGTGTGACGAGGAAGGCGCACGCTCGCCTGCGGTCCAGCCTCGCTGTGGAACGAAATTCAGCCCTGCTGATCCGTCCACGGCGCTGAGACCTTTTCTCTCCACATCCTGACGATGGCTCTCGGCTGAGACCCGCAGGGAAGGGCCCCAAGGAGCGCAGGCCTTGGGCGGGGCTTCAGGACACACGTGGGCGCCTCCCTGCGCCCGACCGCCGGCTCCGACCGCCGGCTCCGCGGGTGGAGCCAGGCTCGCCCTCCTGCTGTGGACTCAGCAGCCACTTGTGTCTGCGGACTCTTTCTGGGACGTTCTCTCGTGTGTCCGGAACGTGCTTCCATCCGTCGCATCTGCGGTGGCGCTCCTCTGCGTGAGCGTCAGCCCGCGTGTCATGGCTGGCCTTTTGCTCCACCGCGCTGTTTTCGGAGCACCGCGAGCTGTCCTCTGTGGTCCTCTCTGGGCTTCGGCCCCTGTCCTGTGTGCCTGGTCGCGGGGCTGCGCTGGCTCTGCCCGCCCTGGCCCAGGGGGCCTCTGGCCACTCCCGCCCCCGCCCTGCAGTCCCTGCCGTCCACCAGCACCTGCAGGACTCTTGCGCATTTTCGTTTTTCTTCAGATGAACTTTAGCACGTTTTTGGTCCAGTTCTTTTTTTTTTTTTTTAAACACTTTGGGATTTTAACGGGCACTGTGTCCAAGTGCCGATTTCTCAGCGGAGGATCAGGGCTGCGGCGCCGTTCCTTCCCGCGAGGTGCCCGCCAGGTGCGCCCCGGCCACGCTCACCCCCCGCCCCGAGTCCCGGGTCTCACTGCGGTGTCCCTCATTTGTTGAATATTTGACCGTGGAAGATTTTTGTTCCAGACTGTTCTGTCTGTGCTCACGGGTTCTCGTGGTGATTTTCGGAGCCTTTTGATGTGACAGGGACCTGGCCCGTCCCGGAGCCGCCTGGAGACCCGCCGAGCGTCTGCCCGCGCCTGCGTCGCTGCTGCGGCGTCCCCTGCGCGGGTCCAGCGTCGGAAACGCCCCAGATCTGCACTGGTGCCCACGCGACACCGCAGCAAAGGCCCCGCACCCAGCCTCGCGCAGGGGGTCGCAGTCAGAACACGGTCACGATTTTTGCAC